CTGCTGTTCTACACACCATGGAGTCACTAGGGCAGGCGCAGCCTGAGGACTGCTGTTGTACACACCATGGAGTCACTAGGACAGGCACAGCCTGAAGACTGCTGTTCTACACACCATGGCGTCACTAGGGCAGGCACAGCCTGAGGACTGCTGTTCCACACACCATGGAGTCACCCGGGGCAGGAGCAGCCTGAGAGCTATTGCTCTATGCACCATGGAGTGACTTGGAAGGACACAACCTGCTTGCCACACTGATCAAGATAAAAATCCAAGACTGGGTGCGGTGGTGCACAACTATTATCCCAGAGGTTCAGGAGGCTGAGACAGGAGGATCAGGGGTTCAAAGCCAGCCTCAGCAAAAGTGAGGCCCTAAGCAACTCAGTGAGACCCTGTCTCTAAATAAAATACAAAACAGGGCTGGGGACATGGCTCAGTGGTTGAGTGCCCATGAGTTCAATCCCCAGAACCAAAAAGAGAGAGAGAGAGAGAGAGAGAGAGAGAGAGAGAGAGAAACTCAAAATTACAAATTATAAAGATAAGAATTAAAAGAAGGGACACAACTCTGGAACCTAGGGATTTTTTTTAGGGAGCATTTGGACAGCGTCGTAGACAGGGGTCAAAGGCCTTCAGCCCATCTAGTGTGCTGCAGCAGTGTTATCAGAGCAGGGGCTGACCAATGTGTTATCAGAGCAGGGGCTGACCAGTGTCTTTTTTCTGTGTTATTTTAGCAAAGCGTTCCTTCTGTGGTCAACATATAAGTGGCCAAACATTGAAGGCAGCTGATGCACATGTGACTGAGGCTCTGGTCAGGCTGGAGGAAGGAAAATTTCCTTCCACAAAGTAGTAGCTACTCACAGCTCCCTAGTCACATTGTCACAGGAGTGTCCGGAAACTCTCACCCTTTGCAGACACAGCCCAGTTCACATGAGCACAGCATCCAGCTGTGGAGTGTGTCCTGCACCCTGGGGTCCACTGCCTGCCCTCCCCTGCATAGGTTGGACCACTCCCAGCCAGCACTGCACTTCGGGGACCCTCTCTGCTCTAGAGTCTGGTGTTGGAGGTCCACTCGCCCTCCAACTCCTGTAATGTCATCCAGGGGACCTGCGTTAATTTCTGAGGTCTCACCTTCACCATTGGTTTGGAGGTGACTCTTTGGCTGGGTTGGTGCACCAGGGGGGCAGTTCTGTGTGACATGGGAGTGGCAGCAGCCAGTCTGTGCCAACCCACAGTCACAGCCTCCCTTTCTGAGGCTCCCTGCTCTGCCCTGCACCGCGCACCCAAAGGACTGTCCCGAGATGTGCCCTGAGGACAGCGTCTCCCCAGCTCCACTCTTGATGCCCTTCCTGCACATTCTGGCCACTCTGTCCCTGCACAGCAGAGGGGCCAGCAGTGCTCCAGCTTCATGGCTATTTAGGGATTGTAGAAAAAGAGCAGCTTTATTAAATTATCTCACAAGGGAGGGTGGGCTGGGGCAACTTGGTTATGAACGTGAAATCCTGATTCCGGGGACTTGCTTACGAGATGCATGGGGGAAACTGACTGGCAAGATGAGAAGGAAGAGATGCCGAGGGATTGGGCAGCTTGAGAAGGAGCCAGGGACCCAGGTGTCCTGCTCATGATGAGGCCGGCTGGCTGCGGGGGACCCAGGCCCAGCCCTTGCCCAGGGAGCAGCCTCTCAGCCACCTCCCCCCTGGGCTCCTTTCCAGGTGCGGAGGCCTGTGCCAGGCACATGGTGGGACGGCCTTCTCTGTTGCTGGTCACCATCGTGTCTCATCCTTTGGCACAGGACAGGATGCGAGCCTGACTCGACTGGAACACTGGGCGTCAGGGGCACAATTGAGCCTAAGAGTTGTCAAACAAGAGCCCCAGTCTGAGTCCTCTCATCAGCGTGTCAGAGAGCACACATGTGCCTGAGGCAGGGACAATGGCCTCACTCACCCGGCCAGCACGGCACAGCAGGACTCCTGGGCCATTCCCGGGTCTGCGGAATGGCAGACCTGTCACCATGGTCCCCTGTCCCCACGGTTCCCTGTGGAGTGGAGCGGCCAGCTGAGGGGAACTCCCGGATGCTTCACGCTTACCGTGACCTGCCACACCCACCCCAGGGGGCTCCAGGGGCAGCCAGGCCACCAGGGAAGCCATCCGCCATTCCTGGGCTTCCGCCCTCACCAGGGCACTGGGAAAATGGGCGCAGACATTTCACGAGGAGGGAGCTCATGTGGCTCCTGAGAAAGGATGGGCGGATGGCCGGGGGAGATCTGTCACCACCACAGCCAGGGGTTGCCACGTGTCCTTCTTAGGTCACTCTTCTGTTGTTCTAGAGCCATCCAGAGATGGGGTCAGGCAGCCTAAGGTGGAGCTGAGTGGGAGGGCAGGTTTGGGATCTGTGGGGAACTGAGAGTGGTCGGTGGTGCTTGTGAACACAGAGGCTGTCTGGAGGGCTGCTGCTGCCAGGTTCCTCAGTTCTCTGTCACCATGGTCCCCTGTCACCACGGTTCCCTGGCCAGCCATCAAGAGAGCAGACCAAATCCGTACCATCACGTTATCGTCCACCACGCTTTGGACCCTGTCACTGGAGGGCACCACGTGCCCCTGTGTGGCTTGCCACTTGCTGGTGCCCCAGGCACTTGGACTTTGTCCCGTGGCCTGGGTGTGTTGATGTGTCCACAGTTGCTCTTTCCTTCCACAGACCAGCATTTCAGGTTCTTGGCTGTCCACGCTGCAGCCGTTTCTCTGGCCATAACAGAAGCCACGAGCTCCCCACAGGGTCAGTCCTTCCCCGAGGCTGAGTGCTGTCCCACACAGAGGGACTCATCACTCAGCTTCTGACCCTGCCGAATGGCTCAGCAAATCCAGAGGTAGCCAGTGCCGGTCGCTGGGTGTAGTGGCAAGTTATCCATCTCGGGTGGCAGACAGTGCAGGGTCCCAGGAAGAGGTGGACTGGGGCAGCCAGGAGACACCAACATGTCCCTCCCGAAGCTTAAAGAGGACTCCTTCAGATTTGCCCTTGATGTGATCACAGGGTGGACTGCGCACCTGCTCTGGGTGCTGCCTTGGTGTGTCTACCTCTTGCCGTGTCAGAGGACCTGGAGGTGGTCTCGCGTGGGCCACCCGCTGTGTCCTCTGTTAGTCCATTTTCTGTTCCTACACGCAGAATCCCGCGAAGAAGCCAAGTTATAAACTAACAGTTTTTGGCTGGAAAGTCCAAGGTCAAGGGCCAGCATCTGGGGAGGGTCATGGTGCATCATGCTGTGGTGGACAGCAGAAGAATCCACGAGAGACAGAGCGAGCAGGGCCACTGGACTGGGGCTACCCGTTCCCTTGAGGACCCTCAAAGCCCCATACTTGTACAGTGGCAGAGGTCAACACGAGTCCCAAGGGACACTCAACCACAGCGCCTGCCTGCCAATACACAGGTATCTGACAGAGGCAAAGAGAAGCTGCTGCCAGGCCCCACAGCCAGGCCCTGCGGGGTGGGGCTGTTTCCAGTTAAGCTTTCTTTTTGTTGGGGGGGTGGGGGGTAGCACTGTAGATTGAGCTCAGGGGCACTTGACCACGGAGCCTCATCCTACTTTGGATTTTGTATTTTATTTAGAGACAGGGTCTCACTGAGTTGGTTAGCCCCTTGCTTTTGCTGAGGCTGGCTTTGAACTCAGGATCCTCCTGCCTCAGCCTCCCGAGCTGCTGGGATTATAGGCGTGCCTCCCTGCTCCTGGCGAGAGTCTTCTTGAGTGAATTTCTAAGATTTTTCCAATTGTTTGTACTCATTGTGACTGAGGATAGCAGATGTGCAAAGACAGAGTTGGGTGTTCCCAAACCCCCTCCCAGAACTTCCTTTCTAAAGTGGCCACAGTCAGCCTAAGGGCGCATGGTGACCTGGGCAGATGTTGTGGGCCACGAGGGCTTGCGCTGGGAAGCATATGTGTCCAGTGGCAGGAGGGTGGCCACGCTGGGCAAAGGGAAGACCCTGCAGTGTCCACACCTGGTTGTGGGGTGACTTGCTCAGGAGACTCCAAATCCACAACAACTGCAAATCCTGGCCTTCCCGGGGGCATTCCCGTTCACTAAGATTCTTCCCTCCCATCAGTTCCAATTTATTTTGGAAAATTCATGGTTTGGCTGAAGGTAACTGAGGGGGCGTCACCCGATCTTCTTGTCCTCTCCTCTGGCAGGTGCGAGGGTCATCTTTCTGTGCTCCCCGGAAGTGGCCTCTCAGGTCATCCTGAATCAGCAAGGGACCCTCAGTGCACAGCAAATCCAGATGGGAGACGGTTGGCTTTATTCAGAACTCTCCAGGATTCATGGTCAAATGATCATTTCTTCCAGTGATAAAACCCCTAAAGGAAAGAATCCAGGGCAAGATACCAACCTGCCGCCCTCAAGACACACCTGAGCTCTCCAGCCACGTCCAACCCAGCCAGCCTGGGGCCCGGGGGGCTGGGTGCAGGCAGTTCCGTCTCCCTGACACCCACGTTCCGGAAGCTCCTGCCGAGGCCTTGGGAAAGCTGCTGTTTGTACATCCAATGACCAGCTGCAAAACTGATTCACCTGGTTTCTCTGTTCTCAAAAAATCAATATCATTAAAAGTTCATAATCAAGCACAAATTTTATTTTATAATTTGTGACAAATGGAAATACTAGATGCCTAGGGACATTTAAGGAAACCCTCATGGCTACACAACACTAAAGTGAAAGACCAGGTGGGCTCTGCTCTTGACACTGGCCTGGGTCACTGCGCAGGCACCGCAATGTCTGAAATGCCTCTTGAACGAGGAGTGAACCCATGTGTTCTGTACTGACCAATTCGCCTCATTTAATTCACGGATCGGGAAGGATGGCTTCAGTGCCCGTCAGCCGGGGCTCACATTCTACTTTCTTGGCACCTGGAGAAATCCACAGGCAGGCAAGGAGCAGAGTGAAGGCCTCCGATGACACCCAGAGGTGACCGGTGCCACCGTGGTTTCCCCTACAGTCCAAACTGTCCCTCTCAGCTGTTCGAACTTTAGCTGGTTGGGATTCTCCGCGGCCACTGGACTGCAGTCTCTGGTTTACCCTTGGAAAGCTCGCCTTGGTCGCCACTGCATGTCGTTTATATCCATCTTTACCTAAAGAATTAAGTAGCCAAATGAGACTGATCTAACAAAGACCTACAAAGATCTAACAGAACGTGCAGCAGCAAGAAAGTGATCTCCAAGTCTCCTCCGTGGGAGCACCCACAGCATCGAACCTGCCAACGAGCTGAGGTCCTCGTGCTAGTAGGTTCTTGACCTAAGTGCCAGGGGCCCTGGAAAGGATGGGGGATTTTCACATTTTGGGGGGTGCCATATCCTGTGGGTAATTAACACTAGGATCACATCCCATGGCTTTTGGCAGGTGTAATCTTTAGCTTTGTTTGTGACTTGAAGTGTCTACTCTCTGCAGAGCGTGACAGCACAGTGCAGTTGGCAGAGCTACACACTAACACACACGGGGCTTAGACCCATCATTAATTGAAGACAATGATGGAGTTGGAAATGTAGCTCAGTGGTAGGGCCCTTGCCTGGTGGGCAGGAGGGCCTGGGGTCCACCTCCAGTACTGCCAAAATAAATAATAGATGAACACAAGTGTCCCGAAGCCCTGCTCTTCACTGTCTGCAAAAGCATTTAAACAGCAAAGCAGGATGCATTTTTTAGGATTCTTTGGTTTTGAGTGAAGTGGATCAGGATGTGCCACTTGAAACACGCCACCTGGGCGCGAGAGCTATTTTGAGCTGATGAAGGCGTTTGCCTGCCACCCCTCATCTGCCTGAAAGCAGGGAGCCCTAGAATTCACGAGTTAAATTCCTCCCTCCGGGGCACCTGAGTCTGCTCTCTTCAGAGAAAAGCTGTGCCACCCCAGACAGACTTTGGGACAAGACGGACCAGCTCCCAACCCTTCTCCTAAGGGCACATGGATTTCCCCCAAACATCTTCTTTCCGGTTACTGAGTGGGCTCTGCAGAGCCGCGTCCCTGCCCCTCCCTGGCCTCAGGGATGCCTGCTCCCGGTGGCTGGTTCCTGAGCACCAGTCTGCTTTTCTCTCATTCTTCTGTCTGCTGCTGGTTTAATTCAGAGGTGCCCCCCACTCACCCCCTCATTACTAACTCAAGAGGAGAGAGGAAGAGTTTTTCTCCCCCTGTTAACAGCGCAAGCCCAGCCTGCTTCCACCCACTCGGCCGGGGACAGAGGTGGAATGGGAGCCAGGGTGGGAGCCGCCGTCGGGAACCAGGCACAGGGCCGGCCTCTGCCCTGCCCTCACTCCCCTCGGGCTGCAGATTTGGGGGAGGGGGCCGCTGTGGTCTGACAGCCCTCTCAGGACAGTACAGGGAAATGAGGGCTCCTGTCTAGAGGACAGGTGCGTGTTGCCTGCAGGGCCCCTCACTAGCATGGAGACCTGCTGCCTGCTGCAGGGCCCCTCACTAGCATGGAGACCTGCTGCCTGCTGCAGGGCCCCTCACTAG